ACGCCCAGTCGCCCGGGCGCAGCCCCGCGCGGTGGCCTCGCAGCATCTCTCCGGCCCGGTGGGTGTGGCCGAGGTCCGCGCCGCGAGAGATGAGCCACTCGACCACGCGCGCCAGGTTCCTGCAGTCGTCGATCCCGGAGTGGGCCCGCCCCTCGGGCTCGAGGCCGAGCGCCTGCAGCATGCCGCGCAGCGAGGTGCTGCTGGCGCCAGAGTACTCGAGCGCAAAGAGCACCTTCAGGTCGCTGTACGTGCGCGAGCCAAGCCAGGCGGGCAGCGCCAGCTGCTTGCGCGCCGCCTCAATCGGCAGCTGGTCGCCGAGGTCCCAGCCGCCGTGCGCGATGAGCAGCGCGCTCCCGTCTGCCAGAGCCTCCGTCAGGCCGCACGACGCCACCCACTGAAGGAAGCGCGAGACCACCTCCGCGAGTGGTGAGGCGGAGTCGACCTGCTCCTGCGTGATGCCGGTGAGGTTTGTGCAAAACGTCGACAGCGGCCGCGCCGCGCCGTCGCCGTCGGCGCCCTCTGTCGGGCGCACGTACTCGTGGAAGGTGCCACGGACGGCGCCGGTGTGCGCGTCGAGCCACAGCGCCGGGAACTCGATGATCTCGTGCAGCGCGCACTGCTGGAGGCGGCTGAGGCCGGCGTCCGACGCGTCGCACGTGCCCTCAAAGTCGAAGAGGAGGACGTGCTCGACGGTGACTGCCGCCGCCGGAGGCTGCTCGTCGGCAATCGTCAGCGCTGCGAGGTCCAGATGTGTGGACCCTGAGTTGAACTGGGGTTGTGCGCCGGGCCCTCCTGCTCCGCCGCAGGCGCCTGTTGATAGGTCCATGTGATAGCCCTGGATGGGCAATGCATGCGCCTCACTGGACCTTAGATCGCCCGACCGCGTCCCGGTGCTCTGCCGTCGGATTTGTGACGCCGCCGCACCGCGCCGCGGCCGGGGGCCCTCCGGAGGCCGAGGATGGCCGTGGCGGACCGGGACGAGCTCTGGGAGGGGAGGTGTCAGTGAGTATATTGTAGAGACTAACCATGTGCACAATAACTCTCAGTCTAGCTAAGCGAGGGGAGGCGATTCCGGGGCCGTACAGCAGCTTGACGTGCTTCGCCGGCGTGCGTCCCGGAGCGGTGGCCGGTGCCGGAGCGCGGCGAAATCGGGGGACGCCGTCACCGACGAGCGCGTTGGAGTATTCACTCCGGACAAAAAACGCGGCACAGCGGACGGTGCGGGGCGTGCCGCAAACTTAGCGGCGAGGCGCGGGACCGTCTGTGGCGAAGTGGGTCGCGTCCTCCGATTTCCGTCAACTCACGGGCCACACCCTCTAGGCTCTACCTCTAGCTAGCGTCTTCCGAGACGCCACGCGAGCCATTCGATCTCCAACTCCATCCGCCGCCGTGAGCTGCACCTGTGGACCAGCGCGACTGCCGACTGACATAAAGGGTGTGGATGCTGGGTTGACGGAAATCGGAGGACGCGACCCACTTCGCCACAACGGTCCCGCGCCTCGCCGCTATGACGGCTACACGACCGCGGCTCGTCGTGTGCGTGTAGCCGTCTTTGTCCGGAGTGAAAAGTCCAACGCGCTCGTCGGTGACGGTGTCCTCCAACCTGCGCCGCGCTCGGCGAACCTCGACAGCGCTTTCGGTGGCATGCAGCTCTTTGCGACAGAAGCCTGGAGAGCAGCTCCTCTGCTGCTCACACACTCTGCACAGTTGACACAGCCTACTGTGCGGCTGCCACAGCTGTGACAGCGATGGGGAACGCCCTCACGGATTCCGTCGGTCGACCCGCGGGTATCGGCCGAATCGCGGCCGTCAGAGGCCTCGGTCGCCGATCTGGGCGTGCTCCAGCTTCAAGCGATGTTGTGGCACGGCGAACTGACGTGGGGGCAGACGCTTCGCCACCACCTTACCGCGTTCTCGCACGCCGTCGGGGGGTTTGTTGGCGGTCCCACCCTGCAGCGCGACCTGCTTTTTGCCTGGCTGGCGTGGTTCCTGATTCTCGCCTTCGACCCGGATTTGCCGCACGGGTCGAACGGCGCTGCTTTCGACGCGCTCTTCGAGGTGTGCTCCGCCTTTGGCAACGTTGGCCTGTCGATGGGCTACTCACGCGACACCGAGCTCGAGAACGTCCGTCCGGGCACGCCGCAGACCTTTGTCGACTCGCTGCCGCGGGGCGAGACGGGCCTCTCATACTGCGCCTGCTGGCCGAACCTCTCCAAGGCGGTGCTGGTGGCGGTGATGATTTATGGCAGGACGAGAGCGCTGCCGCAGCAAGTCGACTACGCCCTCACGCTCGCCATCGAGATCCCGTCTTCGGACATGTTGCCACCGCCAAGCCGTCTCCTCCAATGTGCACAGAGGGAAGGCTTCACGCGCCACAATGGTGTGCGCATAGGTCGCCCGTCGAGCTGCTCCTCAGCCCGGGCGGGGAGCGCGACAGCGACGAGCGCGACTCGACGCGCGCGCGCGGCTCCTGGCTCTTCTCGCAGGCCGACTTGCGCGGCTTGGCTCGGCGGCTGACTGGCAGCACGCCCGCCCACCACCCGGGCGAGGTGCCACAGCGCAGCGGCGTGAGTTCGGGCAACGAGTCTACGGACGAGGCTGGAACGCTCGGCGACCTGCTTGATGCTAGGGCTCCGGACGACGAGGGCGCGTCGGGGTCGCATGCGAGACCGGAACAGCGGGCGAACAAGGAGCTGGTGTGATGCTGTGCACGTTGCGCGCGGGAAGGTCACGTGCAGGGTGTTGCGAGATCGTTGCGACTACTCGCGTATCAAGGGGTGTTCCTAAACCGCCTCGGGCCTCGGAAACGAGAGAGAGAGATTTTTAGCACAATAGCACAATACCAAACAACTCTAACACTCACACATCATTTGTGGGGGGCCTGGAGCCCTGTTCACGCGCGCGCTTTTGTCGGAAACGCGAGAGAGTAGAAGGCAGCACGGTGGTCTAACACGCGTGGCTCGCAACCTCCCTCCCGCGCCATATAAACAGAGCAGACTTTAGCCAGACATTTCCCGCGGAGGGGCGCGACGCACGAACGACGGGGCGCTGATGTAGCAAATTCTGAAAAGGTTCCACCAGGGCTTGCGCGTGGCGGCGGCGGCTGGCGCCTTGGCGTGGGCGGCTGAGTGTGACTGGCGCTTGGCTTCCGTTTTTTTTCACTAAAGTCGGCGGCTCACACTTGCGCGCTTGTGCTTTATCCGCCGTCTGTCCCTCCGGCTGAGGTGTCGAGTAAACCATGGAAGTGCACACTTCGGGGACGTACGACGCTGCCGTCGCCGTCAATCACGCCGTACATGGTGCTAGCCTACTCTGAGCTAGTGGACACGGACACCACGACACCCCCCGCCACGTACACACACGACTGCCTAACGTGCATTTTTGCCCGGCTGCACGGCGGTTCCCCGGCGCGGGGGGCCTCGCCCCCACCCATCACGGTAGGGTGAATCTCCGCGTCTTGGGGCGGGGTTGTGTTTTTGTGTGAATCTCCGCGACCAAGGTGTTTTTCTCGGCGAGGCTTCCAAGCGCTTGACCACTCGCCGCACCTCGGCACCTCGCCTCGCCTCGGCGCGCTGTCTCATGGCCACACCACGCGGAAACGGAGTGCTATACCTTGAGAGCTCACCTTACACCGAGGTACCCTCCACATGTATGCACATGCACATGTCCACACCGGCAAGGGTTGCGTCGTGTTATAGGTTATGTTGGCAACTCCTGTAGTGTGCCTGTGTTAATATTAGTGCCAGTGCGCGCCATAAAGAAAGAAAGGGAAAACAGACAGGCCAAACGAGGGATGGGACGAGGACAGGGTCCCCACCTGCACGAGCAGCCAGTGCGTGCCACTTGCAAGGTAAAATTCTTTTTACGTATGCACAGCGAGTTCAGGCGGCTGTGCTTCTTTGGTTGGGTCGACTCCAAGCGTCCAGCCAACATTCAGGCCCTAAGCGAGCGCTTGCTTCTGTACTGCAAGAGGGCTGGCGCAGGCGGATTGGATTCACGTCCGTCACATGCCACCTCACGCTGTCTGCACCCACATCCTTCATACAAAAATCGACAGCCACCCTCATCAGGCCACCTCCACAAGCCTCGCTCCCACCACCTTCATTGCCTCAGCCTGCGTCATGCAACTCCACCAGCCTGCGGCGAGCTCCTTCCCCTGGGCACGCGCGCGCGCCTCAAGTGCCTCCTTGATGCGAGTGACCTCCCCAACGTACCTGTCATGGACCTTCTCAGCAGGCACATTCTTGACGGCTCCACTGTCATGCTCACGTCCACGTGCTTCAAACGCCGCAATTGCCTCCGCACGCGGCTTGGTGAGCTGCAGCACCTCAAACCGCGGCGACTCGAGCAGGGCGTCAAGCACGTCCATCTTGACAACTTTGGCCACAGTGCATGCCTCCATGATGACCAGGCTCGGTGGCTCATCTATGCCATGCTCCTTGAGCACACGCGAATCGCCACGCAGCAGCGCGGCCAGGTACTCACAGCATTGCGGAGCCAGGAGGTCCGTCCCTCCAGTGGCCGGGACCGTGTTGCGCCACCGGCGCCACTGTGAATTGTCATCACAGGCATAGATGCCCGGCACCGCAACGGTGTTTTGGCCATTGATGTGAAACGTGACCTGCGAGCCGACACCTTTACCACTCTTTTTCGTCGAGCGGCGGAGCGGCCAGCGGCCAAGTACCTCTTCGATGTGTGCCGGTGTCTTGCCCTTCAGCTCGAGGACCGTCTTCCGCATGAGGAAAGTCTTGCCCACACCTGAGGCACCAGTGACCATGAGCACGGCCGGCCTCTCAGACAGTGGCAGCGGGCGCTTGCCATCGCTCGCGTCAACACTTCTTTCGTTTTGTCATTCACAGATAGGTAAGAAACAAGTTCATCGACCTTGTTATTGAGAAGAAATACCTCCCGCGGCGCTGCGCGCTGTTGTAGGTAGGGCCCTCACATGTAGGTAGGACAACCTCACTTGTACTGCATTTGCTGAGGTTGCTCACATGTCATATGTGTTTCCGGGTTCAGATTCGTTTGCCACCTCACAAATTCTCCACTTTCAATGCCACCTCAGCAAAAGAATGCTTGCTCTCGCCCGGCTGGGCGAGATGATGGTGTTTTGCTGCAAGGGCTGTCGGCGGCTGCCATGTGCCATGTGTATTGACGTGGCTCTTACGTTTCCTCTCCTGCTGGCTTGGCTTGTCGGCTGGCTGGTGCTTGGCGCCCTGGTAGCGCCCGGAAGAGGGAGGGCGGTCTGTTTGTTTGTTTGTGTGCTGTACGATTTTTCTTTTTCGTAGTATTGGCTTTTTCTCTAGTACTCCTTCGCACGTTGCCCGCGGCGCGCCGCCTCGCGCCCCTCACTGTCCGCTCGCAGCTGCTCCTTCTCGCCATCGCAGTTCCAGCACCTTGTCGCCCGTGCATGCATCGATCGTTCCGCGTCTTAGGCTGAATATACTTTTCCTCTCGCACCCCGTCTCTTTTCCTTTCCTTTTTTCTCTACAGCACCCTCTCTTTTCCTCTCTCTTTTCCCGGGGAAACCATCAAATTTTCCGGGCTCTGAGCCGAGACCCGAGTCTGTCTGAGGCTCTTTTGGGGCTGGCCCAAAATCAGCCAAATCTGCGAAATACCGGGTATTTTGCGGGTATACCTGGAAACCCCCGGTATACCTGAAAAATACCCTGGTCCCTGCGACCGCCTGGGTATCGTGCCGATTTCCTCAATTTTGCCTCAGATTTTGCCCCAGACCAGCTCTCAGACTCAGGCGTCAGGGAAACTCGCGAGTTTCCAGAATGGAGCACCAAACACCCTCTGTTTTCCCTGGAATTTTCCGGAAACGCAAAGTGCTGGGGACCCTCTGTTTTCCTTTTTGTTTGCCGGAAAAGTATATGCAGGCCAATCCGCGTCTCGCGCCGGCAGTAGATGCACTGCCAGTGAGTGAGGCGCCGATCCATCCGCCTCGTCTTGTTTGCTCGCGTCGGCCCGACGTCGCCCCTGCGCTCATCTTGATTCTTGATCTTGTGTGATCGCGCCGTCGCCGGCCTCCCTAACAACGCATGCAGGCCACGGTTGAGAGAGAGAGATGTTGCACGGTTGTGTCCCGCCACGCCGAACTCCCTGCCGATCCCGTGGAGCTGCCCCATCGGCTGCAACGGCCCGGTGTACATCACCACGTCGCCGACCGGCGCGGACAGCGGCTGCAGTATCGCCACCGGCGTGATCGTTCCTCGCGAAGTCGTCGACAGCCGAGGTCTCGCGAGCCACTCGTCGGTTCCCTGCGGGAACCGCTCCTCGATTCGTTGCGTCTCCGCTCGGTCGTCCATCGCCGCCAGCCACCCTCGGGTAGCGTTCGGTCGCCAGCTCTCCAGCTCGTCGTTTGGTCACCGAGGAGTCGGAGGACGGAGAGCGAAAGCACGCCTCAAACTCCAGGACGTGCCACCTGGACGCATCCCTCCTTGTCCCACTTATCGAATTTGTGCAGGCGAGACAGAGCACTCGTCCGAATTCCGGCGTTTTCCATAATTCTCACCCTGCTACACTACTAGTACCCCGCTGCCGCGCCCCATCGTGTGGTTCGTGGCGATCTTTGGTGCCTTGAGCGCTGGGGAGGCGCCCACCGGGGGAACCCTAATAAGTGGCGCGTAGTGCCGTACGCTCACTCCTGTCTGGCCGTCACTCGGGATGTGTTGCAGCCAGAGGGCCCAACTTGAGAATCGTGCTTTTTGTGAGGTTGTTTCGTGTTAGGGGTTGGGTTGTGCTTGGGTGAGGTTGTTCCGAGTGATGCGCTATGCGATCGCCGACATCGAGCGAGCACGCCTGTCCGACGAGCGGCTTGCTGTGCGGACGCCTTCTTGTGGCTCTCGTCGAGAGCGTTTTGCGTTCCGGCGGGTGGGAGAATATGTGTCGTCTGATGTGTCACTGTGTACGTCACACCAGTCTTGCCGATAACAAGCACGGTCGATCCGTCAAAGCGATACACTCGTTCCTATTGAGCACTTGAGCACTGGATAGGGTCGGTTCCGCGTGGTACGGGACCCCTCGATCGTCTACTAGTAAGTAACCCTGGCGTGTCCGAGAATTCTTTGTCTGAGAGTTGTTTTGTTTAAATTCTTTGTCTGCTTTTATGTCTCACCGAGGCCCAAGTGAAGAATTCTTTCTCTTGGAGTGCGTTGTGTTCTTGTTTTGTGTCCGCTTTCTCTCTTTTGCGTTTTGGCCAAGGAATTTCTTATCGTGCGCCGCTCGGCATAATCGATAATCTCTCCTCACGGCTGGTCTCTCGCTCGTCGCCGCTCGAGAGTCGAGACAGCAGCCTCTCAACTCTTCTTCTTCTTGTTCTCTGGTTTCTTTTAGGTAGGTAGGTAGAAAGGTGAAGAACAGCCAGGCTCTTTTGGCTTAATTTTTGGTGAAAGAAAGAAAACAGACGCCTGCCGTATACGTGTGCTCGTACGTTGTCTCGCTTTACAAGGTAGGCGATTCGCCCCGTCCGTAACGTCTAACCGCCCGCCGCGCATAACTGACTCCTCATCACCTCCCTGCTAACATACATAGGTAGAAAGGTGAAGAACAGCCAGGCTCGGACTGGACACCAACGCGGTATGGGTGGACGCTGGACAGATGATGACGACACGCACGAGCGACACACAGACACAAACAGGCTCACAAGACACACAGCCAGCTGGCTGCCACACACCCTGAGTCGGCGTACACAAAAAGAACCCGAAAAAAAAACTCAGCTCTAACGCTTGAGGCAGGCTCGGTCTCGGCAGTCTCACGGCTGGTCTCTCGCTCGTCGCCGCTCCGAGACAGCGTACTCTCAATGTGGCCCCGCCGCTCTGTCTTTCCTGAGCCGAAGCCAGAGGTGTGCGTGACCTTCTTCTCCTGTGTCGGCACCGGCGTCTCGGGCACCTCTGACCTCGAGACCATCTACCCTGCCGCCGTCCGCTACCTCGAGGCTCAGCGCGTGCCGACGGCCGGCAGGAGTGAGCGGCCGCTGCGGTACGAGCTCGCATGGCTCGACAATGGCGGCAGCGAGGCCGCCCGGCAGGCCTTCTTGCAGCAGGGCGCGCAGATCGAGCACCCGCTGCGCAACCCGACCAACGAGGGCCTCTTTCGGGCCGTCAACGACGTCTGGTTCCGGGGACGCGGCTGCCGGGCGCCCTACGTCCTCAATCTGGAGGACGATCGCGAGCCGCACCCGCACATCCTGGCGCACGGCGGCGTGCACGGGCTGCAGCACCTCGCCCGCGCCATCCGGCTGCTGGAGGAGGACGAGCAGCTCGGCGGCGTGCGGCTCAAGAACGAGTTCAGCGACGGCAAGATCGCGGCGGCGGCGGCGGCGGCGCTCGGAAGGCCCGTCCCGTGGCAGCGGCCGCGCGGCGGCGGCGGCGCGGGCTACCAGCGGCACTGCATGGAGCTGAGCAGCGGCTTTGTGTGGGGCAGCTTCTCCATGGCGGCGGTCCTCTACGACCGCGAGCGGCTGCAGTCCCGCGTCGGCCTCTGACGGGGACGGCGGCACGACGAGACCTGGCACCTTCCACGAGCCTTCCCCGAGCCCTCCCCCGTAGGCCTTCTGATGGAGGGGCGGCCGCACGACGAGATCCCGTACGACTATTCCGAGGGGCAATACGCGGTGCGGTGCGCGCTGGCCGGCCTCTGCACCGCGCGGCCGCACTTTGCAGAGGCGCCCGCCGGAGCAGAGGAGCGTGGCGCGAGGGGGGGCGAGGTCCGGCCCGAGGAGCGGCGCTGTGGCGTAGGCGTGCACGGACGCGGAAGACGACCCGACCAGCGACGGCGCGTTTGAGGACGGCGACGAGGACGAGGCGCTGCCGTGCCACGACGTCTTCTTCGAGCGGCGGCCGCCCCGCGCGCGCGACTTGTCCGAGTGCGGATGGTTCGCGGGGCCGAACCGCTGCTAATTAGTGTCGCTCATCTGATTCATGAGCTCCTCAGGTATGAGTGGTTCCTGTGGGGCACGCCGCTGCACACCGCCAACCGGACCGCAAGCACGCTTGCAGACGCTGGTCCGGACACCCGCCCGTCCGCCTCGCCGGACGACGCCAGCGCAGGCGCGGCCCGCCGCAAAGGAAGGAGCCCGAACTTCATCGGCCTCGACTGCGCGGGGAACGCGCTCCCGTCGGAGGCGCTGGCCGCATTCGACGCGCTGAGCGATGCTACCGACGCCCTCCGCGACGCGACGGTGCTTGCGCGCGGCGGCCGTGTCGGCAGCGCCGCCCTCGCTCTCCGGCAAGCTGGCGGCCGGGACCTTGCTGGCGATGATACGCCCCGCCCCTCCACACCCTTCCTCTCGCGCGCAGGCGGCTCGAGAGGGCGTTGGGCATCGA